TGCCTGAACATACACTGAAAAAGTAACAAAACAACGCTGAATTTTCTTGTCCTTTAAAAAGAAATCATTATAGTGAATGTAATCTTGTAACTAGTTTCATTTATGCTCTTGAGATGAACATACATAGTGCGCTATCTCTAGTGGTCACAAGTTCCCAATCTAGGTCCATTTTATAAAGAAGCATATTTAATTTACCTGTTTTTTCTTCTGTGCTTCATTAGAGTCTAGCACGGAAGTGGAAACAACAGGCAAAGATTTCTGTGCTGCCTTCAAAGCAGCAGGGTTGTACACAGTTTTTGTCAAGCCAGTAGAAGTGGATAAAACCTATAGGAGGAAATCATTTTATTTTTTTGCCAGTGAATTTCAATTATTTTTTTTTTAAAAAAAAACATGAGTGCTTAAAAATATGTAAGCGTCTTTTCTTTTGTCTGTTTTGATGAAATGGAATATAAAAATTTGGTGCAATAATTATATTTGGAGTTGCTGAAGTTAAACAATTTTTAAAGAGTCAGCACCACATCAGATATAAGAATTATGAACAGCAGATTATAAATCGTTTCCATTGAGATTTCACATGTACTTCCAAGTTTCAAATATATAAAATTTTACGTGTTTGAGCATAATTAAGGAAACAGAAGACTGAGATTTTCCCAAGAGTAACTGAACTTTTTCATTTTGAAGTTTAAAATACAGTTTTTCATGGCTGCATGAATTTTGCAAAAATTATTCAACATAATTTTAAAGACTAAGGTCCAAAGTAGATACAATAGTTCCTTTTCATATGCAGTTCGTGCAAATTAGAGCTTGCACAAGCAACAAGAAGTCACTCAAGTAGAGGGAATTCTTCAACATCGTACAGCAAAGGAAGAGACTCCTATGTCTCTGTTCTCTTTCTTAAGATTTTTCATGGGCTATGAAAATTTCTCCTTGACTTACTGTTTGCTTTACAACCTCTAAAGTATACTATATACATCTCCACAATACCAGAAGATTTGGACTATTCTGTTTTCTTATCACATTACTTAAAGGACATTTTGGCCACACCTGTATTAAAAAAATCCATGGCTAAGTACTGGAGATAATATAGGCATGATCTTGTCCGCCTTGTTAGAAAATCACAGCAATTATGGAATTAGTATCATTTCCAGGAGTTTAAAAATACTTTATATATATGTGAAAAATTAAAAGATGCATGCAGAGTCTATTGGTCACCACGCACTCCATAAAATAAGACACAATGCCCATGAAGAGGAGAAAAAACAAGAGACAGCCAAGAAACATTAGAAAGACAGAAAAGATCAAGAGACCAAAAGAATTTACAACAGAAACACTTCATATAAAAGCTTTTCACTTCATTGTGCTATTTATACTATTTCTTCCCACAGTAAAGTATTTTCTAAAGCAGATACTGCAGACAGGAGAATAAAATAAAATAAAAAAAAATCTAAGCATGTTACGGGGTATTATAAAAGGTGATATAAAATGCTCTAAGCGGGCCACTAAAAAGGAGATAAAGGTTGTTTCTTTTTTTAGCTTATTAAAGTACATTAATATATGCACATCCCAACCATAGAGTTCCTATTACAATGTAGCTTTAGGACAGGCTCAATCACAAACAGAGGACCAAGTAAAGACAAAAATATTGACACACTCCTTTTGCCCTGAACCCTCTTCATGGCAGAGTGAACCATCCTTCCTCATCTTTTAATATAAGGAGAGAGGCCACAGCTGTTGCAGCTGCATCAATGAAGACAGGATAACAAGAAGCAACATATTAGTGTCTTCCAAATCTCTTAATACTATTCAAGAGAAGGAATAGTGTGAATGTCTTCACAAGTTCATAAATTGCAAGTCCATCTACAGATCTTAAAAGGCCTCACAACGACTGTTTTTTCTCCTTTTACTCCTGCTCTTTGGCAAGCACAGCTACCTACCTTCTTACTGGAAAGTTCTTGTCAAACCCTGCACTCACTCAGAAGCAAAAAAACATCTCAGACATGACATCTATGTTTTTTGACAGCTGTCAATCTTTTAATGTCTAATGGTTTATAGAGCGTTATCACTGCAAACTAAGCAAGCTATTTCCTCGTAAAGGGACAACAGTAGGCAAAACCAGGTCAAAGTTTCAAAACCTTACTAAAAATGTCAAAGGAACAGCCTAGCAGCTAATCAAAAATCAGTCTGTACTGTAAGACAATACAGCGGAAAACCATTTTAGCATGACTTTACTTTGTAGAAAAGTGTTTCAGGATAACTCAACCCTTATACTCAAAAGTATTTCCATTCAAACCGAAGCAGACTTCTTACTTCTAAAGTAAGCATATAGCATGTATGCAAAATGTAGTTCAGGAATACACAGTAAGATACTTATCTGCAACTCATTTAGGGCAACAAAAACGCAACTAATCAAACCAACAACAAAATACAGGCAATAAGACAAGATGAGTGTACTTAAGTGGACTGCTCAGCTTGAAAGGAGTTGAAGAGACATCCTCTACAATTACAGCTCAACATTATTATTGTTACCTTTGTATGCTGAGTGCAGCGTAGTATCTTTGGAGTGAATTTTACTTGTTAGATTCTACTAAATGCATTAACTGCCATACTGTAAGAAGGCAGGGGGATAAGTGCAGTGGATTCTTCATTCATTTCAGGTCAAGACAATTTCTGATAGAAAAGACAGATACCTGGGCAGAGGAATCTTGTAACTGGCTAAAACTTGCTGTCTTTCTACCAACAGTCTTGTCAAATGAATGTTACAAACACTGGGGACGCCTGTCCCCTAAGGTGCTAAATAGATCTTGAAACATGCATCACGAACTTTGCTACTAAATACATCAGTAACTCCGTCTTCTGAAAATTGCAACCACTGGGCAAAATACATAACTCATAACCACCATTCAGATGCATCTGGCTCACCTTACCTCTCTTTGTCCCTTCTATACTTATTAATTTCCACTTTTATCTTTTCACAAGTACTTCAAATTGTAAGACCCAATGAGAGGGTGACACAATGAGAGGGTAAATGTTTACAGCATCACCTTTCAAGGGACACAAAAGCCCAAAAATGTTTTTATAGAAAGGCATTCTATAGATTCATATGTTGTGTCAAAATGTATTTATTTTTAAAATTTATTTCTATATTTTTCTAACAACTCAGGATCCTGGAACATAGCTAGTTATTTTCATGACTGAATAAATGGACCCCACGGTATTAGAACAAAAACCACAAAATAGCAGCTTCTGTCCTAGCATATTTTATTCTTATAATCAGCCATCTGCTAAACTGAGTTTTTATATATTATAATTCGTAAACCTAACCTTTAATGAACCTTTAACTTTATAGTTATGAAACAAACTTAATATTGACACAAGGGGTTTTATAATAAAATGAATTCTACTGAAATTAAATGTGAGAGGGAGAGAATACCAGACATTCTCTTACCTTTTCAGTTGTTGGAGTAACTGGCTTTGACACAAAACCCAGCCTATCCTTCACAGATAATTTAGTCACATTCTAAGAAAACAAAACAAAATTACAGTTCAAATATATTTTACTTTATGAATATTTTACTGTTTCCTGTGTAATTCCAAATGTTAGGAATTTAGAAAAAAACGTATTTAACTTACAAAACCATAGACTTTTAAGCAACAACGCAAGAAAAGTAATATCAGAGCAGCTGATAAACTGAATTTCAGGTATTTGTTTTTGCAGTTAATATACATCTATAACTAGATCGGAGAAGACAAAGATAAAGTCAGATTTGGAATCAAAGATTACGCTGCATACTTTTTGCAAGGAGTTCATGACATGCTAGTTGGCAGAGGATTATCTACACAGGCCCTTTTAAGTACACTTCAGTTTCTACCTTTTATAATCTGGTATTTGCAGGCATCAACTGCAGGAAGTTGCTGTTTGAATTTAAACTACAAATGTTTTCTGAAGCGTGGTGGTCTTCCTTTTCAGAAGTAAAACTAAAGTAGTGGCAGAATACTAATAATGAGATACTTCTAACATAATAAAAATTTGAAGGCTATTTCTAAACGGGAGTAACATGTCATTCTGTCATTATTTATATTGGTACTGTGGTTACAGTTGTCCTTCTATTAAGGGTGACGTACAAATACTAAAAACACTTTTAAATGCTGACCATTGGTCTCTAATGGTTTTAGCCATTTAACATATATAATATTAAAAAAAGGATAGCTTTTAGTTCTTTGGGTAGAAACCAACTTTATTTTGAAATCTGAAAACTGCAATTTAATGCATTACTGAAATATTTTCAGAGTTTGGTTGGTTTTTTTTTTAATTAAGTAAAAAGCTGTGATACTAAAAATTAAACACCATGCTTGGGTGAAAAAGCCAAATATCATTACACCCATGAAAACTTTAATATCAAAACGCCATACGCAATCGAATTAGATGCACTTATAAGTAGTAAATGTGTACTTGCACTATATGAGGAACTGTAACAGATACATTCATACCCTGTGGAACTTATTACAGAAACAAAATCGCGCAACTGCTTTTGACTATCATACATACCTGAGTGACTTCTGTATTGGCACTCTGTGCTTCTGCAGGTTCAATATTACTTGCAGGTACCGGACCTAATCTCTCCTTGACGGATTGCTTCACTACTGGTAAACTAGGTTGCTGAACTAAAGGTTGTATTACCTGTAACACCACGCACCCCCAAAAAAGCACATCATAACATTAACAACAAAAGGCTGCTACATATGTAGTTCAATAAATACACAAAGAAACTGCTGCAACGGCATTTCAATTTACACTTCTTCCTTTTCATCATTCAATAGCTTTTTCACCTGATGGCAAAAATAAACACTTCATGAGATTTAGGATGTTATATTGACTATTTGTATAGTGCATACAGCAATAACATCTGTTTTGCGCTTGCAGCTCTCAGAAGTGATCAAACAAGTCTGATCTATTTCTGTTAATCACGTCTACTTAGACTATCTTAATTTTCACCTGTTAGAACTCAATAAAAAGTAATAAGCAGTCCTCTGATTCCTTTCACAAATCTTTCATCATCAACCATTTAGTTATACAAAAACAAAATACAAACTTGTATCATAAAGACTATCGCTTTTTAATAGCAATATGTCACCTTTCATCTCCTATGTATTTAACTCGGACAAAACAGAAAAAGAAAGAAGAATATGGAGACATGCAGTCATGGGACTGAGGAAAAAGAGTACAGAGCAGCCAGTCTTTGAACCTACTACAGATACGCCCTGACAGCTAACACCTTGCCTTTTTTTCCTTTGACAAATACATTAAACACTTAAGACCAAAAAAATATGCTTCCATGCAAGCTTCCTGTCATATTTATGACCCTCAGGAGGTCACCTAATCCATTCCTCCTCTCCAGGGCAAAGTCAGCTATACCTAGGCCATTACTGACAGTATCTATCTATCTAGTTCTTACAGTTTTCCAATGTAAGAGGCCTTACTACCTTGCTCGGCAAAAGCATTTCAGTATTCTTTAGCATTAGAAAATGTTTTTAATATCTAACCTAAATCTCCTGTGCTGCCTTTTAAGCTCAGTACTACTTGTTTTATCTACCACAGATGTGGAGAGCATATTATTTCTGCTTCCTGGCAGAAAACTTTTATTTGATGATTTATTATAGTGGAGTCCCATCATCTTACTAATTATTTCCACTCCTTTCAGAATTTCCACAGTAAGAATTTTCCAAAGTAATCCTGCTGAGGAAACAGCAATGGCAAAGAAATTGTCCAGGACCAGATACTGCTGAAGGGACAACTTAAAAGTCAACTGATTTTACATTGAAAAAAAATCAAAAGCCTGTCTTTAGTGCCTGACAGAAAAAATCTGGCGAAAAACCATTATAAATACAGGTAAAATTAATTCAGCTGTAATTAACACACCAGGAATCTTGACAAAAATTCAAATACTCATCGTATGTGAAGTACTATAAGAAAAGAGTTTTCATACTACTTGTAGATATGATACCAAATATTAATTTCAATGAAAAGGGAAGTATTCATGCTCCTGAAAGGCATATGAATTAAAAATATCTGTTTACTGACTCAACAATTTGATAATTGTTATATTTTGGGGTAGTAGAACATGAAAGCATTGCACCTAAATTTTTAATTTCCTGTTTACATTTTTCTTGCATTCTGCACCCTCTATCACCCACAACAGACTTCAAATTGTAGTCTCCTGACACCTGCCTTTCAGGCTGTCCTTTGTGAAGTGGGAACCCTTAATACTGTCACCTGGTACGAACGGGAATTCATTCTCAAACCATGAAGGTTAACTTGTCAGAGGTAGTGTGCTGGGAAGCTAGTAACACCACTAAAAACTATAAGACTATTTAAAATTGATGTTTTGCAAAATAACAAATATACAGATTTGAAATACACAATTAATACTCAAAGCTGAACAGCATAATCAGCAAATACGCCGATGGCAGTAACTGTTCAAGCTATCCTTGTCAAAGAGGTAATGTTTGTATAAATGCAAATGACATACTCCACTGCCCTCTTCTGGCGGATGAGATGTAAATCATGCTTAGAAAACAAATACCATTTTGAGTAGTATTAGTTCAGATCAAGCATCACATTTATAAATTTGATTCCAAACTCAAATCTATAGGATGATAACTAGGGAGATAGTGAGATAAGTGTCATTAAACCTGCATTTTAATGCAGGTAAAAAGCAGGACATTTGTTACAAAAGAAGGAAAGGAAACTTAAAATGCCCTACAGCAGGATTGCTATGGAAAACTGAGTCACTGATTCCGAATGACGACATACGCCAGAGAAAGAAGGAATTAAAAACTCAGAGCAGCAATTGAAAGAATCTTCTAACTCATTTGTTCATTATATCAGTGTATATAAAAAAATGAACTTCTACAGAGCTTGCTTCATATTTTCTAAGTGTAGAATGTTGTTCCATACTGACAGCAAATCCCATAAAGCAGGACACACACGTATTTAGAAGGACTTGCTACACCAGGAGCTAACTGACAAGACTCTCTATCCAATAACCTACATGACCTGGGAAAATCCAAGCTTCCTCTTATGTTTGAGTAGACCCACTAAGCCTGCTAACAAATCTGATTTGGCTTGCCACAGGTTATGAATCTAAGCTCCACAACAGTAACCGCTATTTCATATTCTGAAAAAGTTGCCAATGCTGCTATGCACATGACAACTATCAACAGGTACTCCACTGTGCAATTCAATCAAAAAATGTAAAACAGAATAGAATAGTTTAGTTGGAAAGGACCTACAGTGATCATCTAGTCCGACTGCCTGAGCACTTCAGGGCTAGTTAGAAGCTAAAGCATATTATTAAGGGTATTATCCAAATGCCTCTTAAATACTAACAGGTTTTGGGCATCGACCACCTCTCAAGGAAGCCTGTTCCAGTGTCTGACCATCCTCTCAGTAGACAAATGCTTCCTAATGTCCAGCCTGAACCTCCCCTGAAGCAGCTTTGAACCATTCCCATGCATCCTGTCACTGGATACCAGGGAGATCAGCATCTCCCTCTCCACTTAAAAGTATAAAATGTCCCTGATCCGTTTCCCCAAAATTGGTGTTTCTAATGCAGCTCTCCTTTAACACTGTAATTTGCATGTCCCCTCTCTCTACATACGTATGTGTGTATATCTGTATATACATTCAGGTACCTTTGTGTAAAACCAATTCTACTTCTACTTTCTATAGCAGTATGCATGCTCAACAGGAAAGGAAAAAGGGAAAGACTGGAAAAAACAGCACCTTTTGGAAGAAAATGGAGATTATCTTCCAAGAAAAGAAATGTAACTCTGCTGTCTTTCTTACGCTCACCAGAAATAAAAAAAAAAAGCCTATGCTAGTTAAAGCAAAATAGAATGTTATTCAGCAGACAGTAGCATCAAATCTTGCTTCACATGAGATGACGAGATGACAACAGAGTGGAATTCTCCGTAAGTCACAGAAGGGCTTTCTTTAAATATCTTCAGTCTTATCTTGCTAATCAACCCCTGAACCTTGTGTTTGAGGTCAAAGAATCTAGAATTAAAGAGTAACTTTTGGAAAAGAATTATATGAAGTATTCATTATTTCAAAAGTACTTAGTCTACTTTCTACAAATGTTTTTTTTTTAAATGTTTAAAAGATTACATTTTACATAACGTTCTAGATAGAATGGCCTTAGATCCTCTACCTTCTGTGTAGTAGTTTGGATTTGTGGTGCACTGCCTTCTCGATGCCAATAAACTTTAATAAAACGATTATTTAACACTGCTTCTGTACTTGATATAGCTTTCTTTGCTTCCTCATGTGTGGCAAACTGAATAAGGGCACCTTCTGGATCACCTTGATATGCAACCTAAGATTTAAAACAGAAGAGCAAAACTTACTGCATGTAGGATTCCAATTTGTGTCTCAGTTATCATAAAATCCCTAGTTTCAAGGCTCAGAAGCTTACAGTTTAAACCCAACATGGGTCAGCAGATAAATACTTACCGCTCATGATTCTGTTTGAAAAGCCTGGTGTCAAGAAGCAACCTTGAGATTAAGCTAATAAACTTCAAGAATAGTTAAAAAACCCAAACCAAACAAATGGAAGTAAAATACCTAAAATAGTCAAGAGTATTTCTAATTGCAAATATGAGTAGCTGTTTAAAAGACAAGAGGAAGCATCACTGAAGTAACAAAAATTGCTACAAAAAATACAGGGGTCAGTTAATGAATGTCCTACCTAGTATGAGAGCTAGACAACAAAGTTCATTTTGGTTTTCCTCCTTTGAGCATTAACGTATTATTTTAGACAACTCCAAAGAACAAAAATTATACCTTTTGGAAAAAGAACATAGCTTGCAATATCTACCTGTGTACCTGTCTGTCTCTCTACACACATTCACACACAATTTTACTTGCCTTACTGAATCCCGCTGCCTGCTAATATATCAATATTCTTAGATGAAGTATGGAAAGACTTAAGAAATATTTAAAAGCAATTAAGAGAGATTTAAATTCCCTCAGTGTTCAGATAGGCACAGGAGGTTTATTCTGTACTCTATCAGTATGCACAAAAATATTCTATTACACCTCTTCATTAAACCTCTCAGTGCAAACAAGAAAGCGTACATAGAAACACTAGCTAGCATCTGAAACTTGTTCATAATGAAACACGATGAAAGATCAGACTGAGTAGCTCAGAGACTGGGTCTGAAATACTGACGTTACACATACAGCCTGCAATATGCAACATCAACATAAGTTAGGCTTTAGTTCTTTGCACCTCTCTTGCATCTTTCTCTAATTGTTTGCTTATTTCTGTTTACAAATGTGGGTCATTCAGATACACCACTAAGTGACACTTTATCCCTTGTAATTACTACTATGGGACTAGAAAGAAATTACATCACAGGGACTGCTTTCTGGATGAGAAACACAGGTTTTCTGTATTCACCACCTATCTTAAAAAATACAGAGGGTTTATGATACCAGATCCAAACTTGAGAAAAGGGGTGACGGAAAAAACACCTCAAAACAATTTTCAATGTTTTAAACAACGTATCTTAAAAGTCTTATCTGTGAGGAAAACATTTGTTCAAAATCTAAAAGACAACTAGAACATTCCACTTCTGCTTCTTCAATGACAATTCCCTTAAAAACAATGAGATCATGTTTACGAAACAAGTTAGGAAAATAATGACAAAAGCTTCAGGGACCAGTTAAAAAACAACTGGCATAGTCCTTTTAATAACTACCTCAAGTCAAAGCACACCACCTTCTCTTTGTTGACTCTTACCTGTAAGTTGACTAAGTTTCCAAACTTACTGAAGTGCTCATTAAGTTTGCTGATATTGTTAAGTTCTGGTGGAACTTTCCTCAATTCAAGTTTTGTATTCTCATTTCCAAACGGCAACTTCTTCTGGAAACCTGGACTATTTGTTCTGTTAAAATTTTGCCTGCAACAAATAAAAACCAAGCCAGAAATCCATAGCAAGCTAGCAAACACAATGTTAAATTCTATATGCTTACATAGGAGCATGTGTGTGAGACACAGATAGATCTGCAGACTTAAAGAAAAAAAAGTAATTTTAGAAAACTGTAGAGGAGTACAGCACATGGACCCATATATCTGCACTTTTCCCCACCAATATTCTCAGCATACCCCAGCACTTAAATCTGCGAGATAATTCACAATAATTTGCTTGTGTCAGTAAGTCCCAACTTCCACATTGCTTCTTTCCAAAAACTATTTCTCAGCTACTCCATGGATTTTCCCCACTAACACTTCAAATAACTATTACTTCAAGGCTCTCCTCAGTCCCAGTAATCTCTTAAAATCCCTTCCAACCTTGTGTCACCACAGGTATATCTGGACAATAGCCACTGCACCTTGTATTTTCTGACACTAACATACCTGGCAACTCAATCCAAAATAGCAATGATGCAATTCACATTTCAAAACTAAAATCAGTCATCCCTAACAACCATCACACTGCAGCTTTCCCGTTTCTTAAATCATTCCAGCTTTCAGGGAGTAGACCTTGATACCATCCAAAGCAACTTCAGCTATCTCTATACTGCCCTTGAGAGAAGACAGTTAAATACAGATCACTCTTACAGTGTGATTTATTTTACTACAGTCAGCTTATTCACAGGTTAACTTGGTTGCAATGTATATAGATTTTATATATGTTTCAGATTACAGCACAGAGCTCCATGGAATTTCAGCTATTAAGCCAACCTCATGTTAATGATCACTCACTTGTCAAACCAAGTCTTCTTTGTAGGAACTCCACCATCCCCTGCACCAATTGTTCTTTTCCTGGATTCAGCATCTACCACTATTCTCATACTACTTTTATTAGGAGGTTTTTCTGTGAACAGATAAAAGATTTTACAGTATTTTTTTTGCATTTTCTGTGTTAAAAGGTATTCTGCTTACATTGAATTTGCATTGAAAAGTACAATTGTTTATTTTGAAATTACTATGATCCCTATTCAAACTGGATCAAATCTTGGTTGCAGACTTTTCTTCTTAGCTATCAACAGATGCTGTGACAGATCAGAATTGCTAATAGCTTTCAATCTGTCACAGTAACATCATACATAAGGAAAACAAAACAGGTGTGACAGAAGGCATCTGCCTCAAGATGACTGCATTCACCGATTCACAGTGTTCTGTACAATACTTTGAGGCTCACACCGTTTCTGCTAACACCTCCATTCTACATATTAGGTGGCACGCACAGAAGTGCTCATGATAGGAAATGTACAGTACTCAAGAGCACTAACACCTAAGAGCAAGATTTAGGGATGCGGTGGGAGAGGAGTGGCTCTAGCTGAAGAACAGGAATCATATTAGGGGACTCCTCACTGAAAATACACCAACAAAAACATAGTAAGATTAAATACAAATACATACAAATGTAAATAAACCCACATTAAAAAAATTGGGTTTATCCCTCTTCCATTCTCATTTTGTATGCTGCTGCTTCTTCTCAGGGCCACTGGAACTATGAGGTTAAGATTAGTCATACATAACTGTCTGCTACTGGATAAAAATTACTCCCTCCTCTCTGCAGCAAAAATCATCTTAAGAGTCTGCTACAGAAACATTACCATTTTTCTACATAAAATATATACGAAGTGACTAGTTATTACAGCCAAGCGTAAACTGTGCAATACTCTAGCATGAGATTTAATTTTAACTTGTAAAAATGCACATACAAAGCAACTAGGAGCACAATTTCCTATTCAATTAAACTTCTCTTAATTACAAAAGATTTATTAAAAAAATACAATGTTTTCCAGTATTACATTCTCTGAAAACGGCCTCAATCTGCATAAATGTAAGAAAAATCAGCTAAACTAAACAACTACAGATTTGAGAGCATACCTCTGGGTGGTAGATCCATATCACCTGATGTGAGTCCTATCAAATTTGGTCTTTGGGCATGTACCCTATGTCTATACATAGGTCTTGAAGTATTTGTTATACTTGGAGCTTCAGGATTATAGCCATCTGTGTCATACGTTTCTGGTAACAAAGAAATTGTCTAATTAAAATAAATTGCAGTTAAAACCCCTAAGGTTTCAAATATAATATTTCATTTAATTACAAGATACAGTTACAATGGCAAAGTTGTATAACAACTATCCTAAAACTGCCATGCCAAATTTTCTGCTTAAACACAGTGAAACTATTACTCCATAGTCAAGATTCACATTTTACATGCAAATTTTACTTCCATCCTGAATTAAGTCAGAGAAAAAAAGAGTATTAAATTACTGTCACAGTGTAAATGACACAAACTTATTCTCCTAAACTATGAAATTATAATCTCTAAAAAGTACACTATAGTATGAATCAATGTTATTCTATTTAGCAAACCTTGTGGGCAAAGCCTCAGTACTACACCTGCTGTAAAAAGAGAGGGTGGAGCAGGAGGCGGCTGGTGATGAATACCCGTTGTAACAACAGTAGGAACTGAGCTAGTTGCTGAGTTTGGGGGAGCATCCATGCCAGCAGGCTGCAATGGGGGAAGTGGAGGGGGTGGTCCTGCCAAAACCGAAGAAAAACAATTAATTAATTTATTATCCACTAGACTTCCATTACACTCAACTCATAAGGAAATCGATCTGAAATGTTTTTAAGGCTATTTAAAAAAAAGGGGGTGAGAGGGCATGTATACAGACACGATGCTGTACCATTCATTCATATGAAACCATCCCAACCACCCAGTACTCAGAGCTTAGACTATATAGAGAAGAATTTGAATAGCTTAACATTTCTCTGAACACCTTCTTTCTATAAGCAAAATTTAATTGCTAATCCAGTATTTATCTTCACCAACAGAAGATCTTTAAAGCTCTATAAAACCCCCTCAAAGAAACAAATTCTATTGTTTTAATAAGGTATAACAAAAATATTCTATGATAATAATTAACTTGATTAAAATTATTTTTCCAAATACCCAGGAAGAAACCTACAACTGGTGGAAAGTCAAACGTATCTTTCTTAAAACTGATGATCTTTTTTATCTGTTTGGTTGGTTGAATGTTTTTTACAACAGGTTACGTGACACTTTCAAAGCTAAGCAGTCAAGCCTGACCTTCAATTTAGTCATTGGCAAAACCAGGTTTCGGAAACAGATACTAAATCACATATTTGGACTTTCCACACAGATCTGGAAATAGCATGCAAGGAAGAACTGATCACCACGGCAATCAGTTACTCTCTATAGTAAGAGAAAGAAATAAATTCAGTTCTTACTTAAATATACTATCAACCAGAAAAGAAAACCTTTTAAGAAACTTTCAAGCAATATCAAATATCAATTATTCTTGAATAATTTTACCAAGTGGGACATCTAAGTTAATAAAAAAAGAGAGAAAGGAATAATCACGTAAAACTAACATAACAGTTTTTAAACCACACAAGGGAACTGAATAACAAACTGCTATTTTATAAATGAGAGCCTGGCACACACGTTTTCATGTAATTTTTAGTGCTTGAGCCAAAGCACTTTGCAAGGAAGGAGTAAACAAGCTGGAGAATTTTCTTAGTTACTTTACAAGTTTAGTTTCAAAATTAATTCCAAATGACATACTTTCAAGTGTAAATTTGATGTGGTCATGAATTCTCTTTAATTTTAGCATTACAAATTATATGTTTAATATCTGTTGTTTCCAGGATTTTCCCTTCTTCTCTAACAGTAGTCAGTTTCAGACAACTTCTATAAAACTCAAGGAACTGAGTTTTGCCATGCCATGCTTTTGCTTACACACAATTAAAATACTAATCCCTATTCAGATTCAGATTTAACATGCAAATTTTACAACAATCAACTCTGCAACAACCACCACAAAACCCAATCATTTGGGGGTAAGCTATGCCATAGTAGAGCATAGTACAACTTCCTAAAATATAGTTGGCACTCTGAAAACAATTTTTTGCACTGCATACAACTCAAGTAAAATCCAGGCTTTTCTACTAAAAAAATGGCTTTACTTTCTACTAAAAGATGGCAGTTACCTGTTACAGGTGGAAGGCTAGGTGGTAAGGGGCCTGGTGGTGGCACTGGAGGTCTAAGGTTAACAGGAGGAGGACTCAGAATTGGTGGAGGGGGAGGAAGTCCAGGAGGAGGTGGTCCTTCGACAACAGGGGGTTGTGCTGGAAAAGGCAGAATGCCAGGAAGATTCACGTCTTCTACCACGACTGGATCGCTTCCGTGATCAAAAGGGCACATGTCTCCTCTCATACAGAAACCCTTTTCTGAAACATAAAAAAAATTGTTGTTAGTATTCAACAGCTGTAGTTTGATTCAGAGAAGATATGAGACATTATCTGTGTAATACAGTAGTTTGCAAATCAAGAGCTTCATATACCAGCAGAAATTTATATTCGAAAATGAAATTGGCTGTTTAACAATCAGCACACAGGAAGATTGCAGCAACATTCTAGCAGAATGAATATAGGAGTTAGATTTTTCTTGAAGAATTAACTCGGCACTGAATTGTAACAAACTGTGAAAGCAAAGAATAAAATCTAGTTTTCATCACATTAACCAAAAAAAGTGTTTCTAAGTAAAAAGTGCAGATATTGGGATTGAGAAACCCCTATTAAAGTTGAAAGTTATATTGTAAAATTGCAACATGAGAAAATTCACTCCAATTCCTCCTTTGCAGCTATTTCAGGAAGAATTAGAATATTTTGCTATAGTTTAATGTGATTATGTAAGAGCAAAAAAAATGCTATTACTGATATATATGTATTGTATATGCACTTATATACATACATATGTAAATATTAAATACACACATATAAATAAAAATGAATATGCATGCATTTATTTTCTTTTACATGCAAGTAAAACATTGGAGTGGGTCCAGAGGAGGGCCACAAAAATTATTAGAGGGATGGAACACCCCTCCTATGAAGAAAGGCTGAGAGAGCTGGGATTGTTTAGCCTGGACAAGACAAAGATGGGGAGAGACTTTTTAGTAGGCCTACAGCAATAGGACAAGGGGTAATGGTTTTAAATTAAAGGAGGGCAGATTCAGACCAGACATAAGGAAGAATTTTTTTTACAATGAGGGTGGTGAAACACTGGCACACGTTGCTCAGAGACACTGTAGATGCCCGATCCCTGGAAACATACAAGGTCGAGGTGGACGGGGCTCTGAGCAACCTGATCTAGTTGAAGATGTCCCTGCTTATAGCAGGGGGGGTTGAACTAGATGACCTTTAAAGTTTCCTTCTAACCCAAATTATTCTATGATTATCTGTTTAGCCACAGCATCCACAAAACCCCCAATACAATACAATGCAATATGGGGGGAAAGTTCAAAACATCTTCAGGTAAAATAGGAAGAAAGCTGAGTGTCTGCTTCCTCAAAACATGATGCTTAAAAGCAGTCTGTATTACCTCATCTTCAGGAAGAGTTATAGAACATATAAATTGAAAAGTTAAGAAAAAACAGAAGTTCTGCAGAGGGTCAAGCAAAAATTGTGAAAGTACAGACAGGAAGAGCAGTATGTTGGAACCAGCTAGCCACAGAATGGAGAGATGAGCTTATAAATTTAGAAGACACAAGCAGCCACAAAAAAAGCAAATGCAAGAGACATCTACTGAGAGATTTCAGTAATAGTCAGAAAGGTAGGGAAAAAAAAAACAACACACAACCAGTTGAAATTTGAGGACAACTGTATCACAGTTTTCCAACACATTACCATTTGCTTCATATTCAGAAATTAGATATACTAAGCTTCTATAGAAGACACACTGTTAAAGATAAAAAGTCCCAGTGTCATGCCTGGAGATGTTATTTCAGAAGTGTGCTAGCCTGCACATTTTGTTCCTTTCTAAAAAACCTGTAGAGCTGGGAGACCATGACACAACATTCTACAGCTCAGCTTGCATTAGAAGAAAACTTCAAAACAAAACTATACTTTCACAACTCGACTTGCTCCACAGTATTGCTGTGACGTATAATGGCCAAGCTATTCTTCACAAGTAAAACTCTGCTGACACTTGAGAGCTCAACCTCCCTTTTTCTTTACTGAAAAATTAATTCTATTCTAATCATAGTTCCAAATGTAAACTGGCCTAGATCTTAAGCTTGTCGCTGTAGTAAACAACAGGAAAAAAAAAAAAAATCAGAAAAAACTTTAGGGGGAAATTTAAACGCTTTTGAGCTAACAGGTTGACTGGCTGAATTTAGCTAAGTCACTGCCAACTGCAGCAGCCTCTTCTGTGGATTTTTGGCACCAGACATGCAAAATGATAGCTTAAGACACAGATAAGCACAAAAAGCCACCCAATTTTAAGAAACACCTACACAGAAAAAATGGGTTAACGTCAGCCTGGGAAGCTGCAGCTCTAGACCTTTCTAGTTAAAAAATATCTCTCAGATAGTATGGAATAAGGTGCTAATCATGGCCAAAACTATCAAATACAGTATTTGGCTTGAACATGACATCAGACAGAAAATCTGAGAAAAAACGGATTTTTTTTATATCTTTTTTACATAAATAGACTATTTTTCATCTCTACAAAATAATTCTAGTAACTAAAAATCTATACAAACACTAATAAAAAAGCTGTCTAAAAGCTAAATTAATAAAAAGTGGGATAAAATTTGCATTCAAGAACTGAGTAACAGAAAAAAAACGCAGTATTAGAGGAGATCAAGGAAAGAAAGGAAGATTACCTCAGTCTTTTCAGAAAGAGACCCATCATAGCTGCAGAAAGCAACTAAAAAAAATACAGACTTACCATCATAATCTCTACAGCGTTTCTTTGGCAGCGGAGGTCTTCCATAGGAGTTGTGGTCCAGCTGCTCTTCATGGAACTCCGACCAGCTTTCAGTAGTGTTATTTCCATGATGAGCAGGAGCAATAACAGTAATAGTGCTGCTCAATGTAGGGACAGGGTAGTGGCCAGATGAAATATTTGTCACAGAAGAAACTGGAGTATAATTGTTCTCTAATGGATCTGTTCTATCCATATCATATTTTGGCTTTCCCAAATCCCTTTCTGTATTTAAAAAAAAAAAAAAAAAAAAAAAGAAGAGTTATATTGGATGATTTCTTCTGCACATTTTCACCAGAAGCAGCCACCAATCTGTTTAAGTATCTTTATTCCACCCCAATTCAACTCAAAATATAAAAACAATAACTGAAACGTTCTACAGGTTGCCCAGAATGCCTGTACAGTCTCCACTCGGAGTTATTTATAACCCAACTGGATAGGGTTCTGAGCAACCTGCTCCAATTTATCTGCTTTGAGGAGGAGTACTGGACTACGTGACCTTCAGAAGTCTCTTCCAACCTCAACTATTCCATGATTCTACACTCCAATGGTTTAATCAGAAAAATGATAATCTTAAAAGTACATAGTCAGCCACTGGGGTATTTTAATAACAGCTATACCCACAGTAAAGCAGAAACTCTACTTAACTTCAAGCAGACCACATCTTCTGTATTCATGCATATATTCTAAGAACTTCAGACAGAAAGTTATTCTGAATAAAAGGAAGCAATGGGCAAGAAAAAGGTAACCACCACGTGAAAACACTAAAAAGTTAAATATCTTTAATGTTTCAAGACACTGTTATTGTTGTATCTTCATATTTATCTTCATTTTATCTGCAATCAAAGGCATATATTCATTGCATGCAAAGGTTTGTCATGTCTGGAGGTATAATGGTGATTGACAAGTGTGGAACACTCATGGACAGATACAGCAGTAATATGACCTTTCATTCTGAATACATACAAACTATTCTCCTAATCTTCTAATAATACCATCAAATAAACAGTAAGTATCCAGATTAAGACAGTCGAGCTCCGTCATAAGGTAAATTCGTAGACTCAAATAACCCCACATTAAAGGAACATAAATAAAAATGTCTTAAAGATAGCAGATAAATGTGGATAAACCAGAAAAAGAAACAAAGCTTTCACTATAAGATACTGTCTATAAGATATTACCACTGCGGTTTATGTAAAATAAACCTTGAATTAAGATGTAATCACATTGTAATCTTTTAGTTAAACTGCTGCATGCTTAACTTGCTCATCTGTAAGTTGTTTGAAAACAAAACCTGAAAGAGTTCCTGAAAACCTGCTCGCATATTTTCAGGAACTCTGCTTTCCTACTTTTAAGGCTGAGTTACCAAGGTCCATTCTACGGAAAGAGAAATAATACACAGGAGACTTAAACCAGGCTGGTTTTACCTCTACATTGCTTAAGGCAGAATAAAGATATAAAATGACTCTCGATGTTCTTTTCCAAGTTATCAGTAACAGTATTGGGGGAAAAAGCATTCCTTTCAACTGAATAAACAGCTTCGTTTTTAAAGAAGCTTAATTTGAAAAACTGCTGTACTGAAGCCTTAAGTCCTACAGATATGTTTGCAAATGCAAATATTTACTGTAATAATTTCAGCCCCTCCCTAGAACACCGAGGAGGGGACAAGACAAAAAGAATAGACTTGTACTGTTCTGCTTGACAAGTCATTTGCTGTCAAACAGGTAATTTCTGCCAGTTCTACCTCCGTAGATGGGTATTAATTTCTATATCTTTCCAGACCAGATTCTGAATTTCCTAAAACTCAATGAAATGCAACTAACTTGGATTTTTCTGCCTCTCTTTGAACATTGCTTAAAAGTGCCAAACACAGTCAAAGACAGTAGTGAAGAATGGAGGGAAAGAGGGAAAAACAAGCAATGAAAACATAACCACATAAGCCTTATTTCCAGAGAAAACCAAGCTAAATTTGAGCAAAGAAACAAGAACAATAGAGGACATTTTGGTGCATTTGAAGGTAGTGTTTAAATGTAGTGTCTAAATTTTGTAGGCAACATTCACCGTATTTTAGAGACCAACTGTTGGTACCTCTGCTTCGTGTTCTGCTCCGGCTTCTGCTCCGGTCTCGATCCCGGTCCCGCAATCTCTCTTTGCTCCAACTTCTACTTCGACTCCTGCTGTAGCTCCGACTCCTCCCTCTTCTTCTGTTATATCTATCCCTATAGGAATCTCTTCTGGGAGGATTTCGGTCATAATCTCTCTTCCGAGAACGTTCATCTTTTTTCCTTTCATCACGGCTTCTAAACATGTAATTTTGTAGGTTATTACAAAAATTATTAAGCCGTAATTTAAAACCTTAACTACCATTAAAAACCTTCAGAAATGGCAATGGAAAATTAGAGAAAAGCTACAAACGGAATCTAACTATGGCCCTTCCTTTCGCCTCAGAAGACTTTTAAAATTCTTTTAATTGGTTTACGCATTTTACTTTTACCATCCATACGATTTTAAAACCTATGTAAAATTCTGTTTCTGCCCAACAATGCACCTTCCCCAAGTTGGAAACACCAAAAGGTAACAGTTACCGAAGGAAGACTTCTAAACTAAAATTATCACAACTCAATCTCAACACTGAGCAGAGTAACTGTACATATGTATATATATATGTATATATAACCCACAAATCTAACATAAAAATGAATCATGAAACTCAAATGTAATAGTTGTGCACAACTCTAAGACAGTTTACACTGTCACTTGAATATTTGCCATTTAACTACATATGCGTAAAAACAATGAAAGTTTCATTTTTAGGCTTATTAGGTGATCTTACAGAATGAAAATATTTAATTTGGTTAACACCATAAAAATCCAAATCCATCTGATTACTGATATAATCCAATAGGTTAAGAAAAATCACCTGGTATCTCTGTAGCGAGAACTTGACTGAGGAGGGCTGTGATTTAATCTTCTAGAAAACTTTTTCTCA